GAGCCGCTACCACTAGCCCTCCAACATGGCGCCCGGCACGTCACCGCGCGCACGCTCCCCGCCGCCGTCCTCGCGCCCGCCGCGCGCCGCGGCCCGCAGCCCGAGCGCGCGTGCGCGCTGGGGCCGGCTCCGCCCTCCCGGGGCCCTGGCCTGCGCAGGGCCGGGAAGCGAGTGCAGCGGACTAGGGTCGTAGGCGCGGCTCCTGCCTTCGCGTGTCTGCCATGTGCTGGCTGTGTGGCCTCGAACGTGTTCATTGCCACGGCTGCACGCTGAGGGCCCCCACTGGCACAGGGAGCGTTGAAAACACCAGTTTTATAGGCAGTCCTGAAGAGAGCACCTGCGTGGCCGCGCCCTCACAGGGCGATTGGGAGCCCACCGCCTGGAATTGGTTGGGCCAAATACCAAGTCAGTTCCTTTCTCCCCAGGGACCCTGGCCTTGATCCCTGAACTCAGTTTTCTCGTGTGTCAAGGCGGGGTTGCACACTGCCGCAAGGATCGAGTTGAGATGGCGGGTATGGCCCGTGTGGTTCGGGGCCTGGGACTTATTTTTTTTTTCTTTTTACTAGCCTTGTACTGTTGAGTTATGTCGGAGCTCTTGTCGGCCCTAATGGGACAACGCAGATGGGAAAGCATGGAGCGCAAGGTGGCCTCGGTAGCACCAGAACCCCAGCCCGCGTGTGGACAGGTTAATACTCCTCTCTGGTCGTGAGCCTTTTAAAAAAGAAAAGGTACTGGATTGTTCCAGAATCCAGCACAAAAGCATGGAAAGGAAGAAAGCTGTTGCTTCATTTGTCTTAGAAGGTGCAAATTTGGGCATAGCTATTACTCCAAGGGCTTCTTAAAAAATAGTGGCTCCAGGGCGGCGCTGTGCCGCCTGCAGAGCGGGCATCCCATATGGATGCCGGTTCAAGACCCGGCTGCTCTACTTCCTATCCAATGCTCTGCTATGGCCTGGGAAAGCAATAGAAGATGGCCCAAGTCCTTGGGCCACTGCACCTGTGTGGGAGACCCAGAAGAAACTCCTGGCTCCGGTGCAACTCCAACCATTGTGGCCATCTCAGGTGTGAACCAGAGGATAGAAGCTCTCTCTCTCCCTCTGCAACTCTGCCTTTCAAATAAATAAATAAATCTAAATATGTATATGTGTGTGTGTGTATAGTGGCTCCGACCCTAGGTGGTAGGCAAAAGCCACTCCCCACCCCCGCATACCCAAAATACCCCTGGAATTTTATCATCAGAGAAGGAGGCCATGATGTTTTCAGACAGTTTGTTCAGAGCTCACAGCTCAGTTACAAGCAGGGGTGCTGGGCCAGGTAACGGGGTAGCATCATCAGACCCTCTGCTGGCATGTACCAAGCACTGCATTGTTTTTTGTGGTCTCTTGGGGCATGAAGAGGCCTACTGCTTCCATGGCAAAGCTTAGCCTGCCCTTTTCTCTGTCACCCTGTCTGCCTTCCAGGCAGATGGCTAGCTGTAGAATACCCTTGCCACTAACTGTGTGTAGATATTTGAATTCAACTTCCTTAAAATTCAGTAAAATTTAAAATCCGATTCCTGAGTTCTTCACTGGAATCCAGTTCCTCGGTCACATTAGCCACATTTCAAGTGCTCAAGAGTATTGCATGACATAAAGAAAATTCCATTGTTGCAGAATGTCCCATGGGAAGTTTCCATTAGAGAACATGCCATGCACATTTATTCCACTTGGCTCTATCCCTTTTGTTACTCTTGGTTTAAGTCAGGCTGAATTTCTTACAGCTCTTAAGAACTCGCCTGGCTCGTCTCATTCCAAGGCTGTGCACCTGTGGCTTTTCTGTTTGAAAGCCTCTTCTCTTTCAGTCACTTAGCTCCCTCCCTCTCATAATTCAGGCCTCAGCTTTAATAACACCCTCTGAAAAACTCTCAGGCTGTCATTGCTGTGTGCACTTCCTCTCCTTTTACAGACCTTCTCCCATGTTTGGAAGTCAAGATTTTAAGAAGAGTGAGGAGCTGGACCAGCATTGGTGTGCAGCAGGTTAGGCCATGACATGAGATGATGGCATCCCATATGAGTTCCGGCTGCTTCACTTCCAATCCAATTTTCCCTGGTAAGATACCTAGGAAAGGGGTGGAAGGTGGGCCCCTGAATCCTACATGGGAAACTCGAACGGAGTTTTTGCCTCCTGGCTTCAGCCTGGCCCAGCCCCTGCCATTGCCACCACTGGGAAGTGAACCAGTGGATGAAGATATCTGCCTCTCTGGAAGATATCTCTCTCTCTCTCTCTCTCTCTCTCTCTCTAACTCTGCCTTTTGAAGACTGAGGAGATGAGGCTGGTGGTAGATGTTTGGCCCAGTGGTTAGCGCACTGCTTGAGGTATCCACATCCTGCATAAAGTGCTTGGGTTAGAGTCCTGGTTCCACTCCTGATTGCAGCATTCCTTCTAATGCCCACCCTGGGAAATAGCTGTGATGATTCAGGAAGTTGGGTCTTGGATCGAGTTCCTGGCTCCCAGCTTTGCTCTGGCCCAGCCCTACCTGCCTCTCTCTCTCTCTCTCCCTCTCTCTCTTTTCCCCCCATTTCCTTTCAAATACTAATGTTTTTAAAAGAGGATACTGAATAATTACTTACTTTGCTTCATTTCCTTTCTCTTGATGACTTCTCTAGTTGAGTTCATCCCAGAGTTTGCGATTGCTAAAGCCTCCTACTGGCGATAATTCCTTTGGTGGAAAACACAAATGTGACAACCAGCCTCCACAATTGTGCCTAGAGAGCCTGGCTTCCTAGGAGTCACCCTGTCCCTGAATGATCTCCTCTCACACTGAATCAGAACTCTGTGTGACCAATGAGAAGGTGGCAAAGGGGGTGATGTGTGAATTCTAATATGAGGTCATAAAAGGCACTGGGACTTCTGTCCTTGAGTCCTGGGCTGCTGGATGGCAGCTTAATGAAGAAAACCAGTGGCCATGTTGTGAGAAGTTAGACAACCCTCTCTAAAGGCCCTTGCCCAGAGAAACTGGGGCCTTGGAGTGGATCCTCCAACCTCAGAAATTCTTGCAGATTTGCACGTGGCCCAGACTGACACCTGAATCACAATCTTAGGCAAGATCCCACCAGAATAGCCGTGTGAACCACGTCCCGATCCAACAAACTATGAAAAATGGCAAACACATATAAGTGTCTTAAGCCTCTCAATTTCAGGATAATTTGTTAGGCAGCAATAGATAACTAGTGCAACAAATAAGAGATTAAACACTACCAGCTAATATTTATTAAGTACTTTCTATGTGTCTGATCCTCTTGAAAGCACTTCACAAACATCTAATTCAATCCTGACATATATCCTATGAGGCTGATGATACTATTATCCCCGCCTAACTGAAGAGATATCAGAGGTATAAAGAGGTGAAATAATGGGGCGGTCATTGTGGTGCAGCAGGTTAAATCTCCACTTGGCCACATTTGCATCCCACATCAGAGTACCTGGTTCAAGTCCCAGCTACTTAGCTTCCGATCCAGCTTCCTGCTAATGTGTACCCTGGGAGGCAGCAGATGACGGTTCAAGTGCTTGGGCCCCTACCACCCACACGGGAGACCCAGATGGAGTTCCAGGCTCCTGGCTTAGGCCTGGCCCAGCTGCAGCTGTTGAGGGCATTTGGGGAGTGAACCAGCAGATAGAAAGTGTCTCTCCCTCTCTCTGTCTCTCTGCCTTTCCAATAAAACATTTTTTTAAAAGGTGTAAAGTAACTTGCCCAGTGTCCTACCCTACAAGCACACCCCTAGGCAAGTGAGTGACCCTTAATTCAAACACAAACTAGCCTGAGTCCCAACCCTTCCTTGTCTTCAAGAAGTCTGCAGAATGCCAGGAGAC